TCAATTTAGGGACAATATATTCAATAGAATTTAAATGAAATAAATTTTGAGTTCTTCATTGCCACATCTCCAGATTTTTATAATATAATATAAGAATATATCTATTTTCAATCTTTATTTGAAAAAGTTAATAAACTAATGCACAGTAACTCACTTGTGATTATTAAATTTGTGCTCAGAGGGTGTGTGCCAGTGCACTTGCAGGAGAGAAAACTGAGTTCCATTGATCCAAAGCCCTCCTGCATCATCTTCCCACTTCACCTGCAATACTTTGAACAACAATCAAAACTTCAAAAGAAAAAAAAATTCTGCAAAATATCTGCAACTTTAGTATGAAAAATACCATTATATCATGACCTCGATTCTTGATGAGAGCATTTGCAGGACGATAGCTTCTTTTGAGATCACCTAACAAATGAACATATTCTACTCTTTTGTCATTCAGATCGATTGGAGATTGCAGGTTTCCTTTCTTGCATGTCGCCCAATCTTTACGAATATCTCCCCAATGATCAGGTCCGTATTTGCTGCCAATCTGATAGTTATACTCTTCGATTTCTGTTCTCAAATATTAATCAGAACATATGTAGTAAGATTTAAAATACAACATATTCGGCTGTAATTCTCTTACCTTTAGATGACACAATCTCATTGTTGAAGAGAAGGAAAGCAATGATTGCGATGAAGGAGAGAAAATTAGGGCACTCCATGAGAGAGAGAGAGAGAAAGAGAGAGAGAGAGAGAGATGAATAAAATATTTGAGCTTAGGGTTAATTATAAGCTAGGGTTTAGCTTGCCTTTATATTGTGGGATGAGGGAAGAGATGTTGTGGAGGAAGAAGAAGATTGGATGGTTTGGATCAATTTATGCGGATTTTTGGATAACATCTGTTTAAAAGTCCTAGTATTAATAAATTAGAGAAGATAATACTTTTTAATGTTGTGTTAATTAAGAGTATTAATACATAATGACATAATAATAGAGAGAGTGTGTGTTTATTAACTTAGTATTAACATGATAA